CTCCTCCTCCTCCTCCTCCTCCGCCATCCTCCAGGGGCCTGCTCCACCGCGGGGTCGCCGTCCGAGCAGTCCTGGGCGGTCCAGACCTGAGGAGAGATGGAACGAGGCCACGGGTCCTCCAGACAGGGCTGCCAGGAGGGGGGAGAGGAGGATGTATTCGCAGACGTTCAAGCTGTTGTTAGTTACTTGTTGTTCGTTAGTTACTCAGCGGGACAGGAATGGACCGCCGACACCGAGAACTCACCTGTGGGGACCCGCCTCTGGGCGGCGGCACACCTCAGCGTCGTCCAGCACTGGGTGACGCTCGGCCACGCCATCGCCCAGAGGTGGCCCTCCCCCCGCCAGGTGGGTTCTCGGTGGCGGTGGTCTCCGCTTCCCATCTGAATCATTCCTCGAGGGATTGTCAAACGCTCTGGAGGATCCTGGAGGTGCACAGCACCATCGAACCCCCAACATGGCCCTCTGGGTCCCACGTACCATGAAGAACGCCACATCGAGGAACGAGTAGGCACCCCGGCGCAGGCCTTGTCCGAAAGGGCCCAGAACCTCCCGACCCAAATCTTACAGGAACGGCCCCAAGACCGGAACCCCTCCTGAACCCAGAAGTGCTCCTCATCTCACCAGAGACGCGCCATCACCCGGGTCAGCGCTCAACCCGGGTCGGCCAAGGCCATGTCGCGAATCCCAGCCAGCCGCATCCGCAGCTTCCAAGCTCAGGTCCGCGCAGGGTGAGGACAGGCTCGGCGCCCCGCGTGGCTCCCAAAATCCAGGCAGGCCTCACCGGGACCGACTCGCGAAACCCGATGGGATCGGATCGGAAACGGCTCCTGGATCGCGCCTGAATCGTCGCGGGACGGGAGCACGCTCGCACCGTTCGGGATCGCGCATGAGGCTGGGCTCCTGCAGGCCGGAGAGGGAAACGGCTCGTGCCGAGCCGGACCGACTCGAAAGCGAAGTCGAAGCTCGGAGGTCTCATCGAATCGGACAAAGAGGGGACTGGGCGAACCCCATTTAGCGTTTGCTTCTGATGCGCGGGGCCAACCAGTGGGGACTGGTCGACCCCCGCCAGCACTCCCCCGTAACTCCATGATTGTGTCACAACGCTGACCCCTGGAGGAATCAAAGAAGGAAGGAAGGAACGCGCCGAGTCCGCCGGCCAGCGCGGGTGGGCTGGGGCCCGCTAACTGCACTTGCTGGACGAAGGCGCGTGTCCCATACGGAGTCAAAGTCGGAGAGATGGGAAAGGACCAAGAGTCTGAGGGAAAATAAGAGTCGGAGTCGGAACCTGCAGAAGACCTTCAACCATTCGCTGACCCCTGGAGGTCTGGACCCAATCCTCGGGATTGTTTTCTCATCTCTCATCCCGAGTCGGTTCTTGACGGTCCCAGGGGCCCACTCAGTGGGGGGCGACGATAGGGGAGGGCTGGCATAGGGGGGGACGCATCGGCCTGGAATGGGCGATACCTCGCCGATAGGGCGGCGATAGGCCCCCGACAGTGAATCGACACCTTCCTGGGCAGGCTGCGGCTATCGGGCCCCTATCAGCGATCGATAAGCGAGTGGGGGTCAATACCTCCCCCTCTATGCCTATCCCTCCCTATCGTTACCCCCGATTCAGGGTCCTTTTCTTCACCCCCCCCTTCTATGAAGGGGCCCAGGAGCCCCGTCAGTGGCCCTGGAGGCCGAAAGCTGCCAAAGGCTGGACGTCGTGAGACGCCTTTCCACGACGAGGGGGGGGCACAGGCAGGGCTCGTTCCCCGCGGCGTGGGCGCCCCGACGTCGGCGTCCTGGCCTGGGCAGTGGCCTCCAAGCGCGGCTGGGAGCCGGTGGCCTGGGGTCGGGCATGTCCCCCTACAGGGGGATCTTGGCGAAAACTGAGAAATAGTTAGAACAAAATTCAAGAATGGTCAAACGAACGTCCCCAAGCTACTTTTTATTATCTTTGGATGTTCCTCCTGTAGGGGGACAGGCCCGACTTACCGGTGACCCTGCGGGAGGACTCGGTGGTCGATATCTGCTCGTGCGTTGCTAGACAAGGTTCTTCGGGCGTTGCGTAATGGGGGGGGTATAAAAGAGGAGGGGGGGTGAGAGCGGTGCGAAGAGGTACCCAAATTGTACCTCAACGAGCCCCTCTGGGGCTCCGAAGGGGCCCGAAAGGGGCACGAAAGGGGACCGTTTCTGACGCCCCCGTTTATGACCCCCCAAAGCCACGCCCAAGTTCTGGCCCAACCATCAGAGCCGGGCGCTGCATGTCTCTCACGCTGGGAGTGCTCGCCAAGTGTCGGGCCCCAGAACCATCGCAGAGCGATCGGGCTCGAAGAGTGCAGCAGAGCAAATGGGGCTTCGATGTTGCAATTAGGTCAGGCATGTCTTCTTACAGGCGGATTTGCGAAGAAACATGAAAATAGTCTAACATGCTCACAAGTAGCCACAACATACTCAGAGCATCGTCCCCTGGGTATCGTGTCATATTTTTAAAAATTCCCCCTGTAGATGGACATGCCCGACTTAATGTTGCAATTCTTTCACGCTGAATCCCCAGCAAGGTGTCCAAAGCTTGTCGCGCCATTGTGGAGCCCATGGGCCCCCCTGGGCCTCGTGAGGGATCCTCCTCTGGCCATCCAGGGGAATCCGTAGGACACCTGGGTCACCTTGGGCCAGGGACACCTTTATACTGACAACACCCGATATGTCTCCCCTCCCGGGCAATGCGACAGGGTGATCCGGCGGGTGGACAAAAAGCGTCCACACCCGTCGCGCCAATATGATGCGAGATCGAACTGCTTCGAACAAAAATCCATAGCCCCCGCTCCTCCCAACCCAAAGTTGACAGGGTTGGGTGCGAGGCAACGCGCGGGGGACAAATGTGGACACTTCAACTTTGGGCTTGGGGGTGAAGGGGGGCGAACCACATGTATATGCAATTGCCGTTGCCATCATGCATGATTGTTTTCGCGCCGTCGGCGTGGACGCTTTTGGTCTGGGCGCCGCCACCACCTGGGCAGGAGGAGTCAGCATCGCTCGAATCGGACCGGATCGAAAACGTGCGCCAGATCGGGCCGCGTCGGTACGGAGCCGGAACCGATCGAGATCGGCCGCCCCAGGATGCGCAGCGGCGCCCATGCAAGCATCGGGCCGCATCGGATCGTCGTAACATCGGAATCGAATCGGGTCGCACCGGCCAGAATCGACACCGAATCTAGACGAGCGCATTGCCACCACTCGCAGACTGACTACTCGCAAGTGGCCTGGATCCACCATGGGGGGCTTTGCGATACATTACAACTAATCACGAGAGAGTGCCTTGTCCACGTCAGGGCACGGCTTTCGACTCGACACGCCAGGCTACCCCGTCGAGGGCGCCAACGAGCTGATGCCGAGCATTATTTGTTTTTTATTTCGGCGCGATGAAGTTGGACAATTTCGTGACATGGTGACTCCTCTCTGCAAACTCCGCCGTGCCCTCCAGGGGCCTCTTCTCTGGCCACATATTAACGGCACTGGGGATGCAGATTTCGCGAGCGGAGACCAAGCTCCGTGACTGACACGCAAACTTGAAATCCAGCCAAACGTCGCACGGAAGCGAGACCCGTCGCCAATCCACGCACCTTAAGCTATGCTTGGTGAGCGTTTTTATATTTGGCGTTTCGGCATTGGGCGGACGGGGGGGAGAGGGGGGGTCTGGCTCCAGACCTCTGCTTAGTGCGACTGCTTGCAAGAGTGCGGCCTCTGGGGAAGACTCCACCCGCTCGAAACAGGCGCCAAAAAACAGCCAAGATCTACTCCAGGGAAGAGGGGGGGGGAGGGGGTTTGGGGGCCCGCGCCGATTGGCAAAACAGTGAGTAAAACGCGACCACTTGCGCTTCCTCGATCCTGGGAGGCCGGGAAAGCCTCTCAGAACGCCCCCCCCACCATTCCCAGAAGGCCAACCCTCCCGCGCTGCCCCCCCCCCCCTGGACTCACGCCGGCGACCCTCGGGAGCCCCCTCGCCCCCCCGACGTGAGGTTCAATCCTCGTGGAACTCCCTTCTGCAGCTCACGTCGGGTTCGTGTCGTGCCGACTTCGGCGTTGGTTTCTGACACCGCGGGGATCGTTCAATCTTGAACGATCGGCCGTTTCTGAACGATTCTGGGTCGCCGCGGGCGATCGTTCCACATCGAACGATTCTGGGTCGCCCGCGGCGTTCAACGTTGAACGCCGCTGGCGGGAGGGCCGCTGGTCAACACGACACGAACCTACCGCACTGGAACCTACAGGGCACACACTCTGAATCACCCGACGACCCGAACCAGAGCCTTCCAGCCCTCCCTCCTCCTCCGTCCTGTCTGCTTCTGCCGAGGGACCCAGATCTTCTCGCTGTCCTTGTTGGGCTTCAGGTCGCAGTCGCAGTAGTGGTTAGCGACGAGCTTCCCCGTCTTCTCCTGCTGGCGCCTCCTCCTCCTCCTCGTCCATCTCCCCCCCCTCCTCGTCGTCGTCCTCCTGATTCACCTTCCCCACCCCTGGGGGTGGGGAGGAGGAATGAGGAGGATGACAGAGAGGATTAAGGAATGGAGGAGGGGAGGAGGGGAAGAGGTCCTCCTCCTCCTCCTCCGTCCCGCCTGGCCCATTCTGCTTCTCGTCCCGCCTCCATATCCTCCTCCTCCTTCCTTCCCTCCCTCCCTCCCTCTCCCTTCCTTCGCCTTCCTTCCCTCCCTTCCTTCTCCTTCCTTCCCTCCTCCTTCTCCTTGATTACCTCGTCCTCCTTCCCTCCTTATCGGCGTCCTGCAATCCTATCGCCTCCCTCCCTCCTTCCCTTCTGAATGCGCTTCCCCCCTCCCCCCATATTCGTTCCTCCCCTCCGCTACAGCCATCGTGCTGCCATGGGGAACGCTGAAGAAGGAACGAAGGCGCTTTCTCTGGCAACTGCGGGCCTCGGGCGAATCGTTTTCAAAGTGCGGGTCTCGCCCTGGCACCGCGAATACTCACGTTGTAATACTCCAGCAGCTACAAGCATGCAACGCGGGTCGCGTGTGAATGTGGCTCTCGCTTACACGCCGCGCACGTTGGTCTTACGGGAGACCACCAACGACGATGCCGTAAGGCGGGACAGGGGTCAAAGCGTGATCGCCTTAGCGCCAAGCACTTTCAACTTATACACTTCCAATAGGGTGGAGGGCGACTTCATTTCAAGATGGAGCTGTCGCTGCGCCGTCTCGAACGTTAAGAATGGCCGGCAACTATGTTCAACCGTGTAGGTGGCATTTCAATGGTTCACTTCCGGAGTGTGAAAGCCTTCAGAGTACGGGTACACGAATGGAGGGGTACGCGGAAAGAGGGCGTTCTACAGGATGGGATGATCCTGCCCCATGGAGCTTCTTATATCTACATGGACGGAGGGTGGTTCCTGTGAACTGAACAATTGCCGACTGAATGGCATGCCCATGGAGCCCTGGTCTTCTAAATGGGGGTTCCCCCTAGTGAAAGCGGGGGCTCTGCTCGCAAACAAGGACTCCTGACTCTGAGGGGACTTTGGACGGGAGTGTGGCTTGCAGCATCGATGGTCCACCCTGGACCTACGAAGAGCAGAAACACAACAACAAGACTTGCGACGGGAGGGTACATTACAGCATCGTTGATGGACCTCTGGCGTACTCTGGTTAGCATTTCTCACCTTCGTGTCGTCCTCAATTCCTTTTCCTTCTAATAACTCCTCCCTGTCACACCCCGAGGTCGGTCGAAAGGGCGGACCGGGCGTTTCGCATGAGAATTCCTTACAACTTCTGAGCCTGGCGCTTAAACATTGACACCATCTTTACAGATGGAGGGCGGGTGGTTTTCAACATGTGGATCTCGTCTTAGCGCGGCGCACATTCGTTCTTGAGTTGATTTGCAAGGGTCTCACAGATTTCGGGCGGGTGGTTTTCAACATGTGGATCTCGCCTTAGCGCCGCGCACATTCGTCTTAAGTGTTTGCAAGAGCTTCACGGATTGAGGGCGGGTGGTTTGCAAAATGTAGCTCTCGTCATCGCGCGGCGCACATTCGCTTAAACGATTTGCGAGAGCTTCACGGATTGAGGGCGGGTGGTTTTCAAAATGTGGCTCTCGCCTTTGTGGCGCGCATTCGCTTTAAACATTTGCGAGAGCTTCACGGCCCCCGATAGTAACGTACCAGAAACGGTGTTTTGGAACGGTTCAGTGTAGCCAGGGGCCAACCAGTTACACGGATTCGCGGTGCTGAAGTCCCAGACATGGTGTTATCGTGCAACACAGGATCGTACAGACTCAACAGTCAGGATCATTCCTTGCGTTGAAGACCAGAGAATGCTGTTTTGCCACGCTTCAGGATCTTCGAGCTAGAGCACTTCCATCAGTGGAAATGAACCCTTCTAGGGGCTTAGGAAGAAGGAGCTAAGGGGGAGGGTTCATTCCAAAATTGTTGATGAATATTGTGTTTATACTGGTCCCCTACTCCTCCTTCTCCTGCTGCTTACCCTCTGCCTCTTCCCTTCATCCCCCGTCCTCCTCCTCCTTTGTTCCCTCCTCCTCCGCCCCTCCCCACTCCATCTGGCCCTCCTCCCCTCCCCCGCTCCATCCTCCTCCCACTGCTCGTTCACGCCCGTCCGCCTCCCTCCTCCCCCTCCTGTGCCCCTCCCTCCCTTCTAGGGGAATAAAAAGATACCGATAGCGCGTCGAACTCATGACTTGGGGGTCTTCACATGTTCAGACATCCTTCAGCTCCAGAGCAGCCTCCAAGATTGTCTCAAGATCGCCCCAAACTGCCTCGCAATCTCTCAAGGCGACCTCGATGCATCCCAAGAGGGCCCCTAGACGGCCCGGAACGGCGCCAAGAAAGCCCCCAAGCTGGCCCAAGAGGGCCTCACGAGGAACCGCAGGCAGCCTTAGAGAAACGCGCGACGGCCCAAGACGGCCTAAAGATAGCTCCGCGACGCCTTCGAGAGACCCCCTGGACGGCCAAGATGGCTCCGAGACGGCCCAAGAGAGCCCCGAGACGGCCCAAGAAGGCCCGAGGACAGCCCTCGTGTGTGGTCCAAGTGACCGTATAGACTGCTCCACAGCGGCACAGGAGAGGAAGACCGAAGAGAATCTGGCTGTCGCAGCGAGGGACGGGGTGCGGTCTCCTGGTCTCCTTCGAGGCTCTTGAATAAAATCACCAGCGGTCGGAATCGAGCATGGCAGGGCTGTTTTGCAAACGCCTACGACAGTGTGGTAATGCGCGCCAGCAGTGGGGGCCTGGATGATTTTCCTGCCTTGAGCACTGTCCGAGTGTGCTCGAAGGCTGGTCCCCTGCGTCTCTTCCGCGCGCCCGAAATGGACAATTAGGGAAAATGGTCACGGTGTCCAACAGCAAGCGTTGTCCCAAACTGACAGCAACCGCTGTTGGGCAGGCGACTTGTCGCCTTAAGTGGCCAACGCCCGCTGCGGCCCCAACAGCGAGCCATGGTCAAAATGGGCAGGAACTGGTGCTGGCCTTGTCGGGTCGGACGATCAAGTGGGAATACCAGAAGAGGGGTGAGAGAGTCAGCTCACGCAGCTGATTTCTCTGACGCCTCCCAGCGCTGGAGACGCCTTTGTCTCGACGAAGGCGCCTGGGATCGGGGGCGCGCAAACATGGATTGGCGATCCATGGATTTGGCGCGCGGCCGCCAGATCCATGGATCGGGGGAGGTGCCCTCGCCAAAAATGCGGCCAGTGCCGCCCGGATTCCCGCGAAACCCTATGGAAACGGGACCCGTCGGAAACGGGACCCGTCGCTAATCCACGCCCCCTTGATCCATGCTTGCGATCGCCTGATGGGAGACCTGCTGCTTGCAGCAGAATTCGCACCGCCACTCCTTCGTCCCTCCCTCCCCCCCCCGTGGTCCGACCCGAGAGATGCTTGTCGTCTGGCTCTCGGGGATCAGAGCCCGAACTCGAATCACTGGCGGCCGTTCGGGTCGATCCGGATACCCCAGGGGCGCTCTCGGCGAGGAGCACTGGCTGAAAAGCACCCCGAGGCCGAAACACCTCCAGCGGCCACACTAATCAACCGAGAACCTAGCGGATGATCCGTGCTTCCCGTCTTGTACCCATCTCGATCGTACCTAAATCCGAGCACCCCCCCTCTGGCTCCTGCCGCATGAGGAAGCGGACCCGCCCAGCGGTCCTGTCCTTCGGCGGCCCAAGAATGCAAAGGCGATGACTAGCGATAACCCAATACACGTGATGGAAGGGGCACAAAGGATAAAAGGGTGGGGAAGGAGTATGACACTAGATGGAGGAAAAGAGGAAGGGAGCGGAGAAAGAGAAAGGGAGGAAGCAGGAGGAGGAGGAGGAGGAGGAGGGAAGGACAGAGGAGGATATGGAAGAGGGAAGGAAAAGGACAAGCTGGGTGCGCGTGGGCCATACATGACATCATCTCCCTCCCTCCCATCCTAAAGGGGCCCTGGGACACACAACTAAGTAGACCCAAATAACAGGATTCCGCGTCATGTTCCATATGTGCTGGGTTGTTGTCTTCCCCCCCACCTCCCACATTTCGCCAGATGTTCTGGAGAATCGACGATTAATTGTGTCTGCGTATTTGTTTCCTCGTGACATCCCTTCTCGTTGCGCTGATGTTCTTTCTCCGCGGACGCGTGTCATAGCCCACCCAGGACTCCACAAAAGACCGTCATCGTGCCCTGCGCAGTCGGCAAAAAGGTAAGCCTGTGGGAGCTGCCCGACCTGCGGGGCCCCCTGTGGAGTGCGGGGGCCTGTAGCCTCGAAGCAACAGAAAGGAGTCGCTGCTAGAAGACACACTCTACAGCTTTCGGAAGTGCCAACCGTCCAGATGCACACAACAATCTGTCCCTCTGACTGTCGGAGACCTGCGGGAACTGCGAGACCTGTGAGACCTGCGAGACCTGTGGAATTGGCGGGACCTGCGGGACCTGTGGGACCTGCGGGGCCTGCCAGACCTGTGGGCCATGCGAGACCTGCGAGTCCTGTGGGACTCGTGGGACCTTGGGACCTGTGGGGCGACCTGAGGTACTTGTGGGTCCTGCGGGACAAGTGGCTCACGCTGGTGCGGGAGCGCCATTCTGAGCAACGGGAGCACAGCGCCGATCCCAAGTTGAAGCCCACGCTTCAGCGAGAGCATCATTCTTGAACAACTGCATGGTAAGAAACCACAGGAACAGCAAGTTCGCGCAAATCCACTGTGCAAAAAACGGACGCAGAGGGATCGAACAGAGAAAAACAAAAGCACGAACAGGTACAGAACAAACCAGCACGCAGAGGGGGGGCGAACACTCTCGGGACACTGTTGGCGAGAAAGGAGAGTAGTATTCACATAGTGTAACTGTGGATGACGGGACGGACGAGGGATGGATGGGCAAGGGGAGGGGGGGGGACGAGAAAGGATGATTAGGACGACTACATGGGGAGGGGAGGATGAGGAGCGCGGGGGGGATGAGGAGCGCCATGATCATATAAAGAATAGCAGCATCTCCATGACATCTTAGAAAGATCGCGCGGATTTATGGGATCGGCGCTGGACCCCCCCCTCCCTGGCGCGCGGAGAGCACCAGGTGCGACGACGGAGCCGCCGCCGCCGAGAGGGGGTCCAAAATCGACACAAGAAATCCCCGCGGAACTCGGAAAGCTTGTGTTGGGCCCTATCACTAAAACCGGGTCCCCTTCCCTGGGGTCCTGGCTAGTTCCGACTGACGTGGGCGAGGGGGGTGGAGGCCGAACGCCCTTGGCTGTATCGCTGCCTGTGATTCCGAGCGCCCCGAGCGAGGAGACCGTCCTTGAGCAGCCGGGCGTCCCCCAGCCCCCGCTCCTTCCACTCGCCGTCCTGCGAGGGGGAAACCAAAAGAAGACCAGGAGGAGGAGGAGGAAGAGGAGGAGGAGGAAGAAGAGGAGGAGGAGGAGGAGGAGGACATGATGAGAAGGGGAGGGAGGGGGGGGGGGAGGAGAGGGGGGAGGGAGGGAAAGGAGCGAGGAAGGGAGGAGGAGGAGGAGGAGGAGGAGGAGGAGGAGGAGGAGGAGGAGAGGGAGGAGGCGGAGGAGGAGGAGGAGGAGGAGGAAAAAAGGGGGTGTCGGGGAAGGGGGAGTAGGGAGGAGGCGGCCGGTGTCCTGCCTCACGCGGCGGGGAGGAATATCCCCGCCGCATCATCGATGCATCCGAAACGCATCGGCGGCGCGGTGCAGTTGAGAAAATCGGGCGCCAGGTCGCGCCGACGCATCGGCGGCGCGGCCTGGATTGGGGCAAGCTCACATCGCGACGTGGTCGGGGTTGGCTCTTGGCACCGCCTGGTTCGTTCCGCCCGCGCGCTCGCCGTCCCGCGATCGCCCGACGTGCCCTCTCGCCCCCTGCTCCTCCTCCTCCTCCTCCTCCTCCTCCTCCTCCTCCTCCTCCTCCTCCTCCTCCTCCTCCTCCTCCTCCTCCTCCCTCCTCCACCTCCTCCTCCACCTCCTCCTCCACCTCCTCCTCCTCCTCGTCCCGCCGCCGTGGAGCGCACAGACTGCCAGGGGCCGGCGGCGCAGCAGAGCACGGAGGAGGCGCGCGCCCAGCGTGCGCGGGGCCTGCGCAGGTATGAACACTTGGATCCCGACGTGACATCGTTCAACCTTGAACAATCGAGGGCTTCCAGTCGGGCGGGTCATTCGCGATCTTTCCTCCTCGCCCTCCTCCTCCTCTTCCCTCCTCCTCCTCCTCCTCCTCCTGCTTCTCCCCTCCTCCTCCTCCTCCTCCTCCTTCTCCTCCTCCTCCTCCACCACCTCCTCCACCTCCTACACCTCCTCTTCCTCCCTGGGCCCCACTGGCCGATCTACCCCCCTAGATGGGGATACATGTCGTCCCCTTCGGGTTTCAGAGGGGTGAATCCCCAGCTGGGGGAGTAATTTGGTGGGGGTCTCGAAGGGGATGGGGATGGGGATCGCTTAAACGATAACTACCGACGTATGAAGACTTTGATCCCGACGTGATATCGTTCAACCTCGAACAATCGCGGGCTTCTAGTGGCGCGGGCCATTCGCGATCGGCCCCGTCGGGGCCACCGGCGGCGTTCCGCCTTGAACGCCCGCGCGGCAGTCGCCGCCGCATGCCGACGAGGTGCAAGCCTGCCAGAGGAGAGCGGGGCGGCGCCAAGCACAGCCACACGCACAGCGTTCTCCTCTTCGGAGGCGAAGTGGCGGCACAAGTCGCGCACGATGCCGAGGGGTATACGTCCCATCTGCCGCCGCAACTGCCGCCGGGCGCGGCAGGTTGAGGCGAGGGTGGGGGCCGCTGGTCAGCGTTGCTCGGGGGTCTACTGACCCAAGTCGATAGGGAGCCCACAAAGGACGTACGCGCCCAATTATGTACATGAACACGGCCCCTCGATCCGCGAGACCGGCCGCAGGATACGAAAATTCGCGCAATACGTACTCTCGAAACCAGCGTGGATTCATGTGCGTGTGCGTCCTTCTTTCGCTCCTGAGTGAAAGCAAACCTGGGCCAGTCGGGCAACGCAGGATCCTGCAGGATCCTGCGCGCTGGGCCCGGGTCGATGCAGCACTGGCGCTGCAGGATCCTGCAAGATCTGGCGCTCTGGCCGACCCCCGTTCACCTGGACCCCCGTCCCAAGGCTCCCGAGATGCAAGGGCCGATAGAGCCCAGTAGAGAAGCGAGCCCGACGCGGGCCACCGCCCCTGCAGGCGGCGTCGGCCGCAGAGGGCGCGGCGCACTCTTCCGTGCCGGCGGCTGCGCGCGCGGCGACGCGGCGGCGACAGCGGTGGTCGGGCGCGTGGGAGGAGCCCGGGCGCCAGGCCAGGCGGCAAGCGGAGAGGGAAGAGGGACCAGCGGGGTGCGGCCTGGGGGCTGAGGAGCGAAGCGGCGGACGGGCTGGGTGGAGAGGAGGCAGCAAGCACACACAGCTTCCCCCCAGCCCTAGAGCGCTGCCACCAAGGCGAGAGCTATGCTGGGCTGCTAACTGGCCGAATTTCACATGGCGTAGCTGATGGGTGGCTGCGCTGAGGCGAGCGAATATAGTGAACCCGTATAAGAAGGATGCACGATAAGGATCCTTGGAGGGCCATGTCGACACTTTGCGAGCGGAGCGCGGCCAGCGAAAGCGGCCAAGGATGGGCCGAAGGAGAGAAGGATGCAAGGGTAACCTTAGAAAATCGCTCATCCTTACTATGCGGGTTGACTGTACGACAAACACAGGCACACACACACACACCGATCTGTGGGCCAAGAGTGGTCCCCTGCCAGGAAAGGCGTGGTGCAGCGGCGTGCAGCGGTGAGGGGAGCGGCCCTTTCGCGCGCAGGGGGCTGGCTGCCAAGTGTGGGAACGGTAGGTCGGTTGGACTGGGCAAAGACACACATTGCGGGCCGTCCTGCCGAAGCCTGTTGCATCGAGGGCCAAGGGCGGCACTATTGTTAGGTCGGGCATGTCCCCCTACAGGCTGATTTTACACAAAAAACGAAAATACCTATACGACCACCCTTCGGGTGGTAAGGAGGTTGTGGGGGGGAGGGAGAGGGGGGGGAACCAACATCTGACTCAATCGATCTCACTATCGATCACACTCAACGGGACACCACGGGACACCACGGGACACCACGGGACACTTGTCGATCTCAATATCGATCTCACTCAACGGGACACCACGGGACACCACGGGACACCACGGGACACATCTCGATCTCACTATCGATCTCACTATCGATCTCACTCAACGGGACACCATAGGACACCACGGGACACCACGGGACACTTCGGGACACCACATCGATCTCACTATCGATCTCACCATCGATCTCACTCAACGGGACACCACGGGACACCACGGGACACCTGTCGATCTCACTATCGATCTCACGTTTTGGGGCACAGTGGGACACCACGGGACACCTCGGGGCACCACATCGATCTCAATATCGATCTAACTGTTCATCTCACTATCGATCTCTTTCCACTCAACGGGACACCACGGGACACCACGGGACACCTGTCCATCTCACTATCGACCTCACTATCGATCTCACTTTTTGGGACACCACCGGACACAACTGTCGGACACAACGGGACACCTCGGGGCACCACATCAACCTCGGTAACGATCTCACTATCGATCTCAGTATCGATCTCACGATCGATATCACTATCGATATCACTCAACGGGACACCACGAGACACCACGGGACAGCACGGGACACCACGGGACACCGCGTGACACCGCGAGCCACCGCCGGACGAACAGACGGACGGGCGGACGGGGGAGAATCATTTGTCTTGACTTCGCCCTAGCAACGGCGGACACCACAGGACACCACGGGACACCGCGAGCCACCGCCAGACGGGCGGAACGGGGAGAATCATTTGTCTTGACTTCGCCCTAGCTAGCAACGGCGGACACCACGGGACACCACGGGACACCACGGGACACCGCGGGCCACCGCCGGGCGGGCGAGAGAGGGAGAATCCGCCGACCCCTTGGGGTCATCGGCGTGTGAGATGCTTCCCCCCTCCCCAAACCCCTCCCCCCGGAGCCTGGTCCGGTCGTTTTGGAGGGGGGGGGGGGGGTCCGGCCGGATTCCCCGGGATCCGCCGGCGCGGTCCGGGGGGGGTCATCCGCTCCAGAGAGTCTGCTGGGGGGGCCGCAAACGAGCGAAGAGGCTCCCAAGAAGCTCTGCAGACGGTCCAAGAGGGCCCCGAGTCGCCGAAAAAACACTCGAAGACGGTCAAGATGGCCTCCAGATGGCCCCAGATGCCTCCAAGACGCCCCAAGAAGCTTCCAAGACGCCTCCCAAGATGGCCCCAAGAGGCCAAAATCGTCGATTTCCATTGGTTTTTTCAACGTTTTTGGCCTTCGCGTTTTTTCGGGCTTCCGACGCTCCAAGACGGCGAAAGAAGCCCCCAAGACGGCATCAAGACGACCCGAGAGGCTCCCAAGTGGGCCCCAACACGGCCCAAGAGCGCCTCAAAACGGCTCAAGAGGGCCTTCAGACAGTCCAAGAGGGCCCACAGAGGGGCCCAAGAAAGGCTCCAGACGGGGACCACGAACCTAAAATTCTAGCCTTCCGCCCCAAAAGGCGCCAAGGAGGCCCCAAGAGGCCTCCAAGAGGCTCCAAGAAGCCCCCAAGAGGCCCCCAACAAGCCCAAAAAAAGCCCCAAGCTGCCCCAAAACAGCTCCCCAGAAGCCTCCAAACTGCCTCCCGCAGGCCCCCGAGAGGATTCTCACGACGACGGCGCCAGAGGCTCCCACAACGGTCAACGAAGCCCCCAAGATGGCCCCAAAAAGGTGCCCAGCCTACGCCGTCGAGTCTGTCGCCGCCATTGTCGTCCTCGTCGTGTTCTCCTGCTCCTTCTCATCCTCCTCTTCCGCCCCCTCCTCCCGTCTCCCCTCTCAGCTTTCTGTCTCGTATTCCCTCCACTGGCTCACTTTTCACCTTCTCCGCCTTTGGCTGCTCCCCCATCCTCCCTCCTCCACGTCCCCCTTATCCATCCCGTCCCCAGCGGTCAGATTCCTCGCAACTTCCGTGCCTTGTCGCAATGCTCGTCACTTGGTTCCGCCGGGCGTTTCGGAGGGTCTCTCCGCGGCGCTCGTCCCGTGCATGTCTTGCATTTCAGGGTGCCCTTCTTTGCGTCGCAGTGTGAACGCGACGTCGTCCCGCATTGCCGTCCAGGGCCCAGAGGCTCCCAAGACGTCCCCAAAAGGGCGCCAAGACGACCCACGAGGCGCCCAAGTCCATGGGCTCGCTCCGGAGCTCCAAAACGACCCCTGAGACCTCCCAAGAAGGCCCACAGGCAATCCAAGAGGACCCCGACGCGCCAGAGAAAGGAAGAAGAACCAAAAAAAAAAATGATCGACCAAGATGACATCCAGACCACTCATGAACCCCTCCGGCCGCCTCACAGAGCCTCCAACAGAGCCCCTCCCAAAACCGGCGATCGCCCCAGAAAAAAAAACAAGGGGTCGGCGGATGTGGCGTAAGCTTGAAGATCATTTGTCTTGACTTCGCCCTAGCAACGGCGGGTTCATTCCTCTCGCGCGCCCACGCAGCTTCGCCTCGCCCGCACGCACGACACGAACGAAACGAAACGATTTCCCGGTCGGGGTATCCGTTCCACTGCGTCTCACCCTTCAACCTCCGACAACAAAATATTCGAAAATAGTCAACAAACATAGGAGACACGTAATCCCCAGACTATTTTGGACTAACTATTTTTGAATTTTCGGGGGTGGACAAACCTCCCTTTAGTGAAAACGGCCTGGGACCGAAACCGACGGACCTGGACCCGCAAAAATGACGGCCGCGACGCTCTCTCGCGAACCGAAAACGGCCAATTCGCTAATCGACGTGTCGGGGTAGCGGGTCTGTCCACCCCGACTTAACACTGTTGTTCCGACCGCCGACCCCAGGCCCTAGGGACGGGCTCCGAAAGGGGGACACGGGGAGGAGGAGGGAGGAGAGGGCGCCCAAACAGGGTGCCATCCTCCTCCCTGGAGGATGAGTATCGTTTAACCGACCCCCATCCCCAGCGGCGTGGCCTGGGCCCCACTGGCCGATTTCCCCCCCTAGATGGGAAATAGGTCGTTCCCTTCGGGTTTCGAAGGGTGTATCCCCAACTGGGGGGGTGATTTGGTGGGGGTCTCGAAGGGGATGGGGATGAGGATGGGGATTGGTGAAACCATACCGAGAGGAAGGAGAAATTACAGCAGAGAAAAACCCCAATCAATGGATGGTTTCAGATGGGATCGATAAAAAAGTCGATAGGGAGATTCCCCAGGAACCCAGGAACCCGGGAACCCACCGAAATCGAAGCTGAACCAGTGACCAAGAACCCGGGAACCCAGAACCAGGAACCCGGGAACCCAGCCGGCGACCAACATCGGCGGGAAACTTTCGCCAAATCGTTCAGTTTCCGCTAGGACCCCTTCAATGCGGGCACTGATTGGGGAACATCTGCAACGGCATGAAACTGCAGAAGGTCCGCGTAGAGTTGTTGGATCGACACTGCGCCCTTCCCTCTCCCTGTCGCACGGAGGGTGCCAGGGCGGCGCGGGGGGCACCGCCAGGGCTCGGGGCTCCAGCATCCAAGAAATCTGCGCGGACCTTCAGCAATTGACGCTGCTGCAATTGTGCGTTCTTCGAATCATCCTGCTCCTCCAGGCCACCTCCTCCGCCCTCCCATGGAAGGAAGAAACGAGGACCACGACCAAGACTGAACGCGTCAACATCGGTGCCAGTCTTGGCCATCGTCAATTCGGGGTCTTCCTCGCGAATCGGAGACGGCCAGCATGGGCCACGACCAAGACCGGTGTCGACAAGGTCCGTCGACATCCTTGTCCAAGGTCATCATGCTCCTTCCCCCCAGCTTGGGTCTAGCCAGATGCCCCCGCGCGGGCGCTCTGAGGGAAGCCCTCTGTGGCTTCGGAGAAGGCCGAGAAAGCCTCTCAAAAGGCCGGAGGCCTTCTGAGCCTTCTGACAAGGTTTTGCCCCCTCTGTCTTCCCCCCCCCCTCAGCGCGCCGCCGACCCCTAGAGGAGGAGGAGGGAGGAGGAGGAGGAGGAAGGAGGAGGAGGAGGAGGAGGAGGAGGGAGGAGGAGGAGGAAGAGGAGGAGGAAGGAGGCGGAGGATCGAGATGAGGAGGGAGGGAGAGAGGGCGCCGCGGGAGGCCGCGGCGGCTCCAGCATCCTCGATCCCCCTGGGGCAGCGCGATCCTTCCACCTGTACAGCTTCGAGCGCTGGCAGTACAGCTGCTCCTCCCGCTCCTCGCCGGTCGTGACGCCGTCCACGACCTCCAGGGTGATCGACGGCGTCCACCCGGGCACGACAGACACCTCCTCCTCCGCCTCCGCCGCGTCGTCATCGCCTGGGAAGGGGGGCCAGCTCCACCTTCTTGGCATGAGAGGCGGGTGAAACAGACAAAAGAAATGCACACATAGCAGCACGGATATCAACTGTCGGGTCCGCGCGGATGTTTTGGATCTGCGCTGGACCCCCCTGGCGGCGCCTCCAGCGAAGCCCCAAGCGCGCCAAGAAAGGTAGCCCAAATCCAGGAGACCCGTGCGGGCCTCCGAGAGTTTGTGCCGATGCGCATTCCTGCTCCTCTCCACCGCATCTCTGGACAGGGAAAGCCATCTCCGCCCCCAGGCCGACCTGCCCCCATTTGGTGGGGGCGGATGCCGCGATGCCGCCTCGCCCGAGCCTGCCCAGCTCTGCTCCTTCGGGCTCCGCCCAGAATCGCAGATGCCGTCCCTGCTCCTTCGGGCTCCGCGGCGCCCGAGCCCGCCAGGAGGGGATACGCTGGGAGAGCTGACCCGCGGCGGGCTCGTGTCATGAAACCCCGTCGTTGGTGCCTGACACCGCGTGGACCGCTCGACAACGATCGGCGGCGGTGCGATCGCCAAATCGTTCCGTTTCGGCCGGTCCTCTGCCACTGGCGGCGTTCAACCTCGAACGACCGCGGCGGGGTCGCCGCCCCGTCGGCACCTACCGTAAGCGGGGTACGTACGCTGGGAGGGCTGGGCTACCCTCCTAGTGGGGTTGGGGATGGTCAGCGTCAGCATGTCGCGGCAACGGCCTCTACGAAACGATATGCCCTGCAGGCGGATAGCGTGTCGCTCCGCAATGCGGGGCGGGAGACCGGAAAGAGCTCGCGACGTTGGCGCTGTCGGACCAGGACGCGGTCAACGTATCGCGCCGAAGCGTGGTGGGCCTGAACCAGCGGCGCGACACGCGAAACAAACGCACCTGATCGCAACCCACCCTGAGAGACAAACAGATGCCGACTCCGCTACTCCCCAAGACCTCTCCTGGATTCGGTCGACCCAAAAGGGGGTCCAGCTGAAAGGGGGTGGTGCAATAGATTTTGGGCAATTGTGTAGCAAGTGCACTGCGTCGGAGAATTGTATTGCATTGTATTGCGCCAAACGTATTGCACGCAACAGTCCAGCGACAAATTTGATGCATTGCACGCCCAAAATGTATTGCACCACCCCCTTGTCGCTGGACCCCCTTTTGTTCAACCCGCCCGGCGGTCAGCACTCGGGCATCTGGGCATAAGTGAAGGGGCCCTGGGACACACAAATAGATGCACACAAATGACAGGATGTCCTCCATATTCCCCCGGGATTCTGTCTTCCCCCCACTTCCCATATTTTCACAGATTGTCCTTGGGATCGACCATTAATTGTGTCTGTGTGTGTTTTCAGGAGCCTACGAAGACGTACGCCTCCAACCACGTGCATGAACACGGCCCCCCGATCCGCGAGGCTTGCCAACGTGATGCCAACGTTCGCGCAACGCGCGTACTCCCGAAACCGGCGTGGACTCGTGCACGCGTGCGTCCTCCCATCGCTCCCGAGGAAGGGGCGCCGTGACTTTTGCAGAAGACGCCCACTCTCGTCGGGGAGGTGGCAACAGCGGCCAGACCGCCAGACCGCCGGGGCAAAGAGGGCCCGGCTCGACCACGAGCGGTGCACGGTGCACGGCGAGGAGCGTGCGATCCGCGTGTCGCGGCGGCGGCCCCTGCGACACGCCATGCCTTGCACGGAGGGGGGACGGCAAGGGGGGGACCGGCCCAGGGGAGAAAGCCGTCGACCTGGAATCGGCGGTGTACCACCGACAGATCGGCGGCACGCTCCCGAGAGCGAATACCGCACACGCCCGGGCGGGGCAGGCTGTCGGGCCCCCATCGGCGATCCGTGGGCGATTGGGGGCCGACACTGCGTCCCCTCGTGAGCCTACCCGCCCCCCCCCCCCCCACGCTGCCCCTGGTGCGACCTGATATGGGACGCACATGGACATACTAATACTAGATGTCCTCCTTGGAGGCGCGCGTCCGACCCGAACATATAGTATACCCATCTTGTAGTATATCGTTTCCCGAGCGGTGTGGCCAGAAAGCGCCCGATGATAGCCTGCCGCGTTGCCTTGTAGGGCGGGAGGCCGGGCAAAGCTCAGGACGTTGCTGCTTGGGGACTGGACTGGGACGCTCGCAGGACGGGAGGCCGGGCAAAGCTCCGAACCTTGATGCTCGGGGACTGGGACGTGCTTAGCCGCGCCGAGGCGTGATGGGCCAGAAGCGGAACGACACGCCTTACAGTATAGCCAGAACCAAACAGCATCGAAACACGAAATCGGATCCAATCGGAACACGCATCGAATCGTGGAGGCTCCCCGGCCACCACCGTGTCAAAGTTGATCTACGCTGTCAATGCCTCGCTCTCCTGGGGCCTTGCTGTGCTCCTGCTCGTTAACCTTTGTCACGTGTGCGGAGCTGCACCGTCAACGCCGCGCTCTCCTGTGGCTTTGCCGTGCTCCTGCTCGCAACGCACACCGCCAGAGGCGGCGGAGAGCTTGAGAGATCCACCTACCAAAAATTTGAGGCCTGGAAATGGGCACCAACACCAACACAGGGGGTTGCCTCCACAGGGGGAAGATGATCCTCGATTCTGGTGTTGGTGTTAATATTTCGGCCCCCTTGGAAGCCAGAATATTACCACCATCACCGAGATCGGGATCTTCAGGCACACCGCCGAAATTGGTGTCGGTGTCAACCTCTAGCGAGACAAAGCTGAGTGCAGAGCACATGAGCACAAGCACATGAGCACAGCACATGAGCACAGCACATGAGCAGATGGTGTTGGTGTCAACCTCTAGGCCTGCGAAAACATCGGATCCAATCGGAACACGCATCTAATCTGGGGCCGTACCGGCACGGAGCAGAAACCGAATCGGCCCGGCCACGCCGGGACGTGCAGCAGCGCCACGCAGGCAGGCGTCGGGCTGCACTCGGATCCACGGAGCAGTCGGACTCGATGCGGCGCGGGCGTGCTCTTGGCAGGTGGAGCTCTCCAGCTCTCCGCTGCCTTCGCGAGCAGGAGCACAGCAAAGCCACGGGAAAACGTGGCGTTGACAGTAAGGTTAACGACCAGGAGCACGAATCGACGGCGACTCGGACTGGTCGACTCGAGATGGACCCTGACCTCGGCACTCGGGCTGCAGCGGCCAAACCGCATTCCGAGACAGAGAAGACGTCCAGGAGCCGACGAGAACACCCGACGATCGCCGGGCGGGAGGCCCAGATCTCCGACGCCGTGCTTTGGTTCGCAACGAGGACCATCAGAGGCCGAGACCCCGTCCCCAAGGCTGGTGTTCCGTCCCCAGTCTCCTTTGTCGACGGTCCTGGGGCCCGGTCAGGCTCCCAGGAGGCCGAAAATGGCAAACAACAGTCCCGTCGTGATGTATGGCATCGAGAGAGGGTGCTTGGATCACCGCGGGAGGTGCTAGGTGGAGGGGGGCTTATGGGTGGATGCTGAGGTGGATTATATCTGGCCTCACCTAGCTTACATGGGCTACAGCCTCAAGTGGCTTGGGTGAGCTCGATAACTCCGCTAAGTGAGCGTAGCCCACCCAGCCGAGAACTCGACCCCCCCCTAAACTGCTTCGGGCACATCCAACCCACTCATAAGCTACGGTGGTCCAGACAGAAGCCGCCGTGGCATCCACGTAAAACCCCCCTTGGCCCCTTAGTGACCCCTGGGGGGATCACAAGGCGGCGAGCGACGGGGGGAAGTGAGAATGGGCGGGGCTTCTCAGAAGGCTCGGAAGTCCCCGGGCCTTCTGAGAAGTTTTCTAAGCCTTCACCGAAGACACAACAAACTTCTCAGAAGGCGCGAGGGCTTCTGAGAAGTCCCGCCGCCTTCTGAGAAAGCCCTCTCCTTCTCGCTTCCCCCCCCTCGCTCGCCGCCGAAGGGGCGGCGAGAGATTCTCCCGTAGCCTGCGCCGTCCTCCTCCTCCTGCTCGCCGCCGCCCCCCCGCGCGGGCGGCGCGAAGAGGCTGCCGCTGGTGCCTCCGCCTGCGGTGTTGTGGGGGGGGGGCTCCTGCTGCGCCTCCTGCTCCTCCTCGATCCTCCTCCTCCTCCTCCCCATCGGCCCTCCTCGATCCTGCTCCTCTTTTTCTTATATTACAAGTCTTATGTGTCTTCTTCTTTTTCGTCTTCTTATTCCTCCTCCTCCTCCTCCTCCTCGGCATCCCTGCTCCTCATCCTCCCTCCCCTTCCTTCCTCCTGCCTCCTCCTCCCCGATCTTCCTTCTACATATCATTCCTCCTCCCAAAATTAGCTGCTCAAGCCGATCACCCCCCTTCGCCCCAGTCTCTGCAACTTCCCTCTCCACCACCACCCCTCCTGCTCACGCCCTCTCCCATCCTGGATCCTCGTTTTCTCCTTCCAAGTATATTCCAACTCTACCTAGCCGTTCGATGGCCGCCACATCTGGGTTTGTCTGCCCTACCCACCAAACGCAGTACAGAGTCGACGTTCCACCTTTCAACATGGACATTTTGTCGTCGAGGTTGCCAAATGCGTGGTAGGACTGGGACGCGGCGCAAAGTGCGTGCGTTTCTTTAAAGGAACGCGGTTTTCGCTTTGGCGCCGCGCTCATTTCTCTCAAAATTGAACTCCCGCTTGGGCGCGGCGCCAATGCGTCCTCGGTTGGTCGCGAGCGAACGAACGAAACGGCGTTCTGGCCCAAGCGCCGCGCGAACTTAGCCTCAGTGGTGCTTCCGCTTGAACGCGGCGCGTATCAATCGTTCAAGAAGTCGTCGAGAGCAGGGCAGCGAGCGAGCGAGCCAAGGGCCGTCCATGCCCAATCCAACTACTGTACCTGTCGAACCACACCAACCCACCCCAGTGCCACCGTTGGGACTGTCAATGTCTGGTGGGCGGGCACTCCAGAACATGTGGGAAACACGATGGAACCCCTGCACCCCACAACCCAAAATGTGGGAGGGCCTGTGACCTTCGGCTTGGATCAGGGTGGCTTTGTGAGTAGTGACAAGCTGCTGCGTGCAGATGTCGCGTGAAAGTGGCGTACCCGCTCGAGCACGGCGCAGGTGTGTCGCTGGCCGAGTCGTCGGAACGCGGCAGCGGGGCCGCGCTTGAGCGCACGAGATGAGATGCTGCATCGCAAAGGCGCCACGCAGATTTTGCGCGGAAGGGCACTGCTGCTTCGCCACTCTCGTGGACAATTTGGGCGCGCGCGGGCGGGCTGAAAGGTGCACTCGCCGGAGCGCAGCGCATGAATTGTCCCAAGATTCCGTTCCCGCCTGCGCGCGGCCCGTACGTGCATTCCTCGTCAAGTCGACGGAAGCGGAACCACGCGCGAGCGCCTTCCATTCGATGGATGGGAATGCGCGTCAGTCCGAATATCCGGTTGGCGATGAGTAGTTCTTTATTAATGGCAGGGAGGGCGGAAGTGGGCGGGGACCGCTGAGTCGATCGACCTGGCTGACGCCTGTTCCCCCTCCTCCCAGTCCCCGCCCCCTATCCTCCTCTATCCTCTCCCATCTCCCTACTCCAGCTCGCCGACCCAAGAGATCTCCGCGAATACCCAGCAGCTTGTGATTATGGACAAGTGTCTTTCTTTGATATCTCCACCCCCAGCTTCAATTCCCACTCATCGTCCCTTACCTCCCGTCCTCCTCATACACTTCCGCATCACTCCGCCTCCTCCTCCTCCAACTCTTCTTCCTTACCACCATTACCATCGTCACGACCACCGACGTCATCATCTTCATGAATAGCGAATCTAATAAGAACTATAATGCAAATCATGATACTACTACGAATAATAATGATAAACATCATGATCATCAGCAGCATCAAACTTATCAACAATCACCATCACCACCATCACCATCAGCATAATCATCATAATCATCAGCAGCATCATCATCATCGTCATCGTTAGTAGCAGCACCATCATCAGTAGCATCATCACCATCATCAACATCTGCATTATCATCAAGACGATCGGCGTCATAGTCATCACAATCATTACAATCAACATATTCATAATCCTCATAGTTATCACTATCATCATCATTATCATGATGATGATCATCAACATCATCATCATCATCATCACCATCACCATAGCCAACACCATCACCATCATAATCATAATCGTCGTATTCATCATCGAAATCATCGTCCTCATCATCATCGTCACCATCATGATCATCACCATCGCCATCGCCATCGCCATCACCATGATCATAACCATTTCATCATCTCATTATCGCCATCATCGCCATAGTCATCTTCATCACCATCACCACCAGCATCATCATCATAACCCTCATCGGATGCAGCAGCCTCATCATTTGCATCACCACCATCATCGACCGCATATCACCACCACCACCAGCCTCATCACACTCTCTTCTCCCTCCCCCATGCACCATCTTCCAGTTTGTCCCAAGATCCCAAGAGAACAACAACACAAAACTGCGTAAACAGAAACCCGGCGGTCCGCACGAGTTTCTCGGATCTGCGCTGGGCCCTTTCCCCGGAGCGCAGAACACGCCAGGTGCAGCGCCGGAAGCGCTGCCAAGAGAGCCCAGCGAAAGACCTTTTGGAAGGCGACCGGGGGGTCTGAGCTGGATAACCCCCGAGCAAAAGTGTCAAAGGCGGGGACGAGGGCGAAGTCGCTCCACATCGGTCCCCAAACCCCTCCTGGGTGGAAAATGACCAATGTTAGAAACTGTCGTTTTTTACCTCCCCAACCCCTCGCCCTCGCCGCCTCCAGCGGACCCCGCGCTGAAGCTGAAGATCGACGGCACCGGCGCCGCGCCGCCGGCCGCCCCGAGGGAGAACAGCCCGCCGGACTGGGGCGCCGAGGCCGCGGGCGAGCTGAAGGAGATGGCCGGCCTCGGCGGAAGTCGAGACGGAAGCCATTTCCCTGACACCCCTCTACTTGCGGAAGAATCACGGCGCAACCGTGTTGCCAATTTTCGGCCTCGGGGGGGCCCCCACTGGGCCCTGGGCCCGTAAAGGACGACTCGGGATAAAAAGACAGCACCGGGAAGGGGAATGGGTCCAGACCTCTGGAGGGCCACAGGGGCCTCGGCGACGGTCGGAGCCAGGATCACCACGAGGGGTCGAGGTTTGTGCTTTGCTCACGGTCTCGTCGGTTCTTTGAATTTTCCAGCCTCGGGATGCCTTCCAGCGGGTGCGCCTCGCCGAGAGAGTTCCGGGGGTGCCGTAATAGTCCCGAAGGGCCGCCGGACACCCAAACTATTTCCGGAAAGTGGTCATGAATGGATGCTGGAGGGTTGTCCTACCCGCCTACCTGCTAAGCGGGCGGCGCATACCAGAAAGGTTATGGGGGGTTGAAGGTTCGGGCCATGCGGGATTCGACCACCCCAAGCAATGCAGAACCCGTGTAGTCCGTGTATTAATGCCTCGGCGGGGGGGGGCAGACCTCTGACCAACCTCGAATTTATACAGAGCCCCGAGATGGACAAGTCCAGGGCGATGGCAGCCCCAGCGACACGCCCTCACACGCTGATAGAATCAACGACGTCGGTGCCGATGACGTCAATGTTCGGGATGAGGATGTCTCAGATTGGTGGAACTTGGGTCACCGCGAAAAGTGCTGAGGGAAGGGGGTAGGGCTTTTGGTTGGCATGCGAACGCTGATTTTTCAAAAATAATTAGAACGCAACGTTGCCATATACTCTCGTTGCGCGGGCGCGAGACAGAAAACGGCAACGAAAAGACGACGACGACGATTACGACGACGACGGCGACGAAGGCGGCGACGACCACTTCGAAGCAACCTGGTTGTGGGCACCGCAACCGCATGGGCGCTGCAACTTGCGAGGGCACCACGCAACACACCACCAGCGCGACGACGTTGCGTGACACGCGCCCTTTGTTTTTTGCATGTTAGAAAAAAGGCCGGCGACGATTTCGACGTGCCGCTCGCGCGCGCCGCGGCCGCGCGGGCACCAGCGCGCGCGCGGGCGCATGACAGAGCGCCCTCGAACGCGCCATGGGTTCCCCACCCCCACCACCCCTGCGCGGGCACAACGCGGAGAGGGGGGGGGGATTACAGCGACAAATAAAAAACCGGGCGCACGCGAATGGAAGAGCGACGGGCGCCAGAAAGGCGGGCTGGCAGGAAACGGGCGGGGAAGGAAGGGGGAAGCGAGGGTGACCCGGCAAGAAAGCGACACGGAGGAAAGAGACACAGGACAGAAGGAAGGCCCCAGAAGAACCACGAATCGGAAAGACACAGAAGACGCGGAACAAAAGTGCCAGCAGAGGGCGCAACCAATGGATGTGGGAAATGCGATGAGCAACGCGCGAGAAACGCACTCACAACAAAACCAAAGGCGAAGGGGCGAGGGGGAACAAAAGGGAGGGCGCGCGACGAAGGAGACGGGGAGGAGGGGAAGCCTGGGCGGGGCGGACGAGGGAAGACGGCGTTGGCGAAAACGAGGGCGACGAGGACAACGTGAAGCAGCAGAGAGAACAACCAACGATAAGGAAGAGGAGGCGGAAGAAGAGGAGCACGGCGACGACGGGGGCGAGGAACAGGCCGAGGAGTGAGCCAGGGAGAGAAAAAGTGAAAACGAGAGCGAACTGGACATGAAATGAGGAAGGGGAGGGTCCGAAAAGGCCCCCAGAGGCAGCCCGAAAGCTCCTCGGACATTCCCTGGAAGGCCCCGCAAGGCTCCTGAGGGCGGCCACCGGCGCCACCACACAGGTCCCTCGGGATGTGTCCTGAGAAGCTCCTGGGGGGCAGGTCGCGGAGGTCCTGACTACCTACCAGACCACCCCAACCCAACCCGAAGACCCGAATTTCGGGTTGGGGGGGGTATGGGTCCCATAGGTGTTTTTTCGGTGTTCCCCGACCCCCCCCAACTGGAAATGGAGGGTGGTTTGGTGGGTGGTGAGGTCCTGAAGCGCAACACCTATCGCGCGGTTCTCCACAGCCCGTGTGATGCTCTTGGGGGCATCACGAGAAGCTGCCGAGAGGCTCCTGTAACAGCCTCCCGGGGTGCTCCTCGCTCCACCCGAGCAGGACGAAGAGCCAGCCGCTACGCAGCAAGCGAGACACGGCATAGGTGACTCTCCCCCCCCGACTCTGTACACAACTCCGGGCCCGCAAGCCGCGGCCCCTGACCTGGGGTGGCGTGGACAGGCGCGACAACGAGCTCGGCGTGCCCCCTCGTGAACCCGAAATGCCCCTCGGGGGTCCGCAGGACGGCCCTGCATGCGCCGCGCATGGCGCATGGCCGAATGTCCACCTCCGAATCACGCCTGCGGCGGCCGCGCCACCTGCTCCGAACCCGCCCCGTCGATGCCCCGACAGGAGCTCGAGATCGCGCCGCGCAAGGGCTCCGAATCTTGCCGCGTATCTGCTCCCGATCTCGGAATCGCTGCTTAAAAAAACAGCCGAGCGCCTGGGGCCCTGGGGCCCCGAGTCCAGGTCGAATGAAGAAGTCCAGGACCCCCCTGGTTCTGAGGTAAAGGCTCACAGACTCTGCGGCTTTTCAGGGCGCGGGATTTCCACGGGCCCACTGTCAAGAGACCACGATACCCGAGTCAAGGGAGGAAGACCGCGGGGCCATACGGCGACGGGGCGGGACTCTCACCGGTCCCAAAAGGGAAAGACAGACCAGGACTCGTGGGGCCAATATTCGAACGCCGAGATCTCCGGGGGTGTGGAAACAAGGGCCCATGAAATCCGTGGCCCTGGGGCCACGGGACTGTGACTGCTGAGCCGCAGTGGTTCCCAGCGGCATGTTTGGGGTGTGTTCCCGAGTCTGGCACTGTCTGCCAGGGTGGCCACCCTGAGCTCGGCGCGCATGTCGCGTTTGATCAGACGCCATTGCCCAGGCGCTGCTGCACTCCACTCTATCACGGTATGTTCGCTTCTGCTCTGTTCTACGAATATATGGTAGATGCATGCGGTCAACCGCACGTCGGCTGGCATGGTGCGCTTGATAGGCGTAGTTAATCGGTCGCTGCTACGTGCTGCAGTTACCTCCATGTTACTCATGTTCCCTTCCATGCCACACTATTGCGATCTGCTCAATTCGGGACGGGCTGGCGTTACGTCCTGATGCGTGTCAGGTGTGATAGTTCGTCTAATCGACAGTGGCTGCGCCTCTGTGGCCAACCTGACCTCGACGCGCACGTGACCCTTGATACGGCGCTGTTACACGGTCGCTGGAATTTGTTTTTATGCATAATAGATTCAGCCATGCTAGATTCTGCAAGATCGGAAATGCAATGTTTACCCTACGGTGTGCTATATGATGATATGGTATGTAGTGTTACACTCTGTCCTGCTGCGCGGTGCTGCGTTAACCTACAGTGTCAAACTCAGCCATATGACGACACGTCTTATAATGGCGTATTGCTTGCTCTGTCACATTATGATTGTCCGCGCTTGACCGACATTCGCATGTTCGATTATAGACGTAATCGTCTGCAATATTCTGACTCGGGCATTACGCACAAAATTGAAATTTCGTTACAACTATGAACCACTTGACACTATGGTTCACACATCCCCAAGACACATTAAGTGTGTTTGATTAGGTCATGTTGTCATGGTTATCATTTGGTTTGTTATGTGTACGGTCCAATGCATAAGCTTGCATGGTTATGGAAGAAACTATCTAAGACTGTGTTCCACTAATCTCGAGTTTGTTTTGCACCAGTCAGCATGGCTGTCGCTACAGAAATGCCCATGCGAGTCGGGGTCCGACCATGCGCCGCGGCATCGGGCAGACCATCCCTCAACGCAAAAGAAATCGCGCGCGAAAACTACATCGAACAAGAAATGAAGCAGCATGGAACATGACACAATTCACCCAGAAATCGCTCGGGGTCCTGCTCATCCCGAACATTGGGCCCCACTTGAGCATCCACTCATTGGCCGGCCCAACGGGCCAGGAGTCGTGATGAGAACTCCGGCAAGAAATTCAGAATGCTTGTCTCTTTCGGGCGCGCGTGGCGACACCTGGGGGTCCCCGGACGAAAAATACCCTTTGCAAGGTGAGGGCAGGTTCCCGGGCGGGGACGGTGCACTGACACGGATGCCGCAGCTCCTGGGCGCGCCCTGGGGGCCTAGGAGCGTCCCAGGAGCGCCCGAAGGAGGCGCCAAAATAGGTGGCAGGCCCCACGGTCTCAGGCCAAGAGCATTCCAAGGTGGCCCAAGTTCGCCTCAAGACGGGCCAAGAGGCACCCAAGACGCCATAGGAGGGCCCCAAGAGGAGCCCAAGAGGGCTCAAAGAGGCGGAACTCATTGAATTTGCGTGGGCTGTTGCCAGAGTTTGGCTTTACCACCTTTTCAAACTTTCGACACCGCCTAGGACGGCCCAAGAGGCTTCCAAAATCGCCCCAAGTCAGCCCAGGAGGCTCTCAGAACGGTTCCAAGACGGTCCAAGAGGGCACAGAGACGGCCCAAGAGGTCTCCAATGAGGGCCCCCAAAGGGGGATCCCGACCAAACATATCGAGACTTCCGCGAAATTTGGCCCGCGAGACCGCCAGCAGGCCCCCAAGACGCCATCACGAGAAGCCCCACGGGGCTCCAAGAGGCCTCAGGAGGTCCCGAAAATGACGCCAAGAGGCCACCGAGAGGCCTCCCAAGAGACCCCGAGAACCATTCCCAAGAGGCGTCTTGTCCCCACAGTTACCCAAGAAGCCGTCGTCGTCGTCCTCCTCCTCCTCCTCCTCCTCCCCTATCGAGTCCGCTATCTTCCTTCTCGCCCCGGCATGGGCACAGCAACATGCAGCAAGAGTGGTGCAATCAATATGGGCCAGCGGAATGCGCGAAGCGATTCTATTCTGCGGCTCCCCTGCGGGTCCTGGCCGTGTTGTAGGCTCCGAGGGTAGATGGTGAGATGGAGGATGATGGAGGAGAGGGAGAAGCATGCAGAAGGCATGCTAAAATGGGCGTCGCTCATGCCGCTAATCGGTTCTGCTATGGCACGTAAAAACACGAGCGAAACGTGCTCCGATAGCTTCAAGTGGCCGTCTCGCTCGGGACATCCTCGACATATCGGGGACTCAGAATCTCAAAAACTGCCGCTTCGCTCGGAACATCCTCGCCAGCTCGGCGTCGGAGGGGACTCTGAACAACAAAGACACCAGTTTGGCTGCAGACGCACTCGGCACATCAGCCTCGGAGGAGACTCCGAGTCTCAAAGATGACCGCTTCGCTCGACACAGCCTCGACTTGTGCAACGACTGGTGCCGACCCTCGTCGACACCCGCTGATTGCAACGTCTGCGTGCAAACTTCCCCCCGGGAGGGCCCGCCGCTACTCCCGGCTCTGCGGGCAGGAACAACCCCACGGTATCCCCTTGGCAACCCCTGCTGTGATCCATGAAGGCTCCTGCCCCCCCCAGGACCACCCCATGCGCAGGCCCAGACCTGCCCACGCCGCTCAAGACTCACGATCTGGAGTTGCTGACCGCTCTCTGCTTCCAGGACGCTGCACGTTCAAACTCATGGGAAGGATTGTACCAGTGGAGCCAATAGTACATTCTCGAGATCGTAAAGTAGCCATGTACTACGACATCTGAGTTTCGGCGCTCTGGCGCCCCGGCCGAGCTCTTAGAGGGCCGCCCCCCGGGGCGCACATCGGCGCCTGTCTGTCTGTCACTTCTTCCAGGAGCCGTCGCAGGTCCCCGGGACTGTCAAAACCTACTCGGGATGAAAATAGCCCGCCCTGAAGGACTTCAAGGAGCACCGCACTCGAGAGAAACAGCGTTGAGCAGGGACCGACCGTCCCCGCATTCCTATATTGTCCATCCACGAAATGTTCTTAGAACCCCCCAAATATTCTAAGAACGGAAGCAGTGTCCTTAGAGCATAAACCCGATGGGTTAAAGCAAGACAGTCTCAGCCAGAAATCTTCTAAGAACATTTCGTGCAGGACACGAGCCAGGACGGTTCGCAACTGCTTGACAAAGAGAACTGATCTCTGGGGGCCGAACTGGGGCCTGGCCAGGGGTCAGGGCCTGGCCAGGACCTCCCGACCGGCATCCCTGCCTCGGGCAGGAAGTGAGGGGCAACGATACTTGGAGGGGACTGCTCAGGGAGGGGAACGTCGACCTTGGAATCGGCGATACATCGCCGATAGATCGGAGATAGAGCCCCGGTAGCGAATCCACACGTTCCTGGGCCATCGGGCCGCTGTCGGCGGTCGATGAACGAGGGGGGTTCAATGCTTTCCCCCCTGAGCCAAATTATCCCCCCGCAGCGTTGCCCACGGATGGCCCATCCCTCCAGAGATGTGCAGAGCTGGTCGGGAGCCCGAATGCTTCCAAGGAGCATCGGGAAGAGCTTTTGGTATCCCTGGCCTCGCCCCGCTGCCGGCGGCATCGAAGACGGAACCACGGTCGCTTCAACCGCAACACGTCAGAGGTGGCCCCCAGTCGGTGACGCTCAGAGACTGCATTGGCGCCAACGTGTGCTTACCCGCCAGCGCAGGCGATGCAACCAGGGCCGACACAGGCTAATTACGTGTTTCATCGTTGGAGCTGCGCGGGGACACACACGGACACACACCTTGGGTCAACACGCGTCCCGAGGAGCATCGACCAGAGCAACGCCCGCGCATGACCCAGCCCGCCGTTTGCAGACCACCGGCCGTGCGGCCCTGCAGCTGCTGGAAGCTGATAGCACTCATCTGCGCAGCTCCACCACCGGCCACATGCGAGAGCGGCCCTGGGCACGGATGACCTTGTGCGCCAGGCTCCTGGGGGCGGGGCGGGGCGCCAAACCCAAGCGCGCAGGCCGCTGCTGCCGCATCGCATTCGGCCGCCGGGGGGCCCCAGCAGAGGCCCCACCGAAGATCACTCCGGCGACAGCCGACAGGGAAGAGCGGACAGAAACTTTGGCCTGGGGGGGGGTCCATCACTGCCGCTCGTGCCCTTAGGTCGGGCCTGTCCCCCTACAGGCGGATCTTGGACGGAAAATAGAAAATACCCCAAACATGCCCCAACAAATATTCTGAAATGATCAAAAAATCGCCGCCTGAGTAGTTTTTGACTATTTTTAGATATTCATCCTGTAGCAGGCCCGACGACTTACTCTTCCCCCCCCCCCCGCGCTTGAGACCGCAGGACGGCCGCCTGGTCCGCGCTGGGCCACCAGAGGCCCGCCCAAGGACACACCGGGCCTCCAAAATAGGCCCACTGCCCGAGATATCCGCAAGAGGTGTCGGGCGCTGCCGGAGGAGATCCTGGTCCCCATCCCTGACCTTCCAGAAGGGCTAAAAAAAATAGCAATGGGACCTCGACATGTTATGTCATGTCGAGGTTTCAGGCAGTCCAGATAGGTCTATAGGTCTGGAAGGCTATTTTGTTTAGCACTCTGGAAGGTCAGGGATGTTGTCCCCCTCTTTCCGCCTCGTTCCAGAGGCCCTGCGGGGCCTCTCGGCCCCGTGGAGGGGTGCTCTGGAAGTCACTGGGGCCTCCTGGGACATTTTTGGGGGCACTCTGGGCCAGGCACACCCTCGGCAACCCGCGACGGCTGTGCCCGAAAAGGCGAGAACCGAAAAACCTTTCAACACCCTAGGGAAATCGTTGCTTTGGGGCTCATGAGGCCCTCTCGAGGGCCCTTTGCTCCGGCGTGGGTCTCCGGAGGTCTTCGCGGGCACTCGGAGACCAGGTCCTGCCGTAGCCCTCCTGAGGGCGGGGAACGCCAGAGGGGGGACTGGCTCAGGGGAGACATCCACCTGATATCGGCAATGCATCGCCGAGCCTCCGATAGCGAATCGACGGGCTTCTGCAATCACTCGGCGATCCGGTGTCGATGCACTCCCCCAGGGCCCGTCCTCCCCGAACGTTGCCCCCGCCCTCCGCGGTCTTCCCAGGAGGCCCACAACCCACAGCGGGCATCCAAAAATATCCTGCCAAACTCTCCTGCTCTGCCCTCGATCTCCACCTGCCGAACCTTCCGTGCGGCAGCTGCAGCCGCGGTGCGGCCGCGGCGGCCGCCGAGACCGCCGCTGCGGCCTTGGCGGCGACCGCTGCGCGGCATCTGCCGCGCGGAAGGTGCAGAAGGTGGAGATCCGATGCGTCGCTCGTTACGATGCGGGCCCGCCGGAAGCCCCGACCACTCCCCCAAGGCCGCCTTCCCAGACCCACGAAGCCATGGCTTCCTCATGACGTGGCCCCCCGGTGGGCTCGACCCGTTCCCCCAAGAAACCTCCGCCTCGACTGTCACCCATCCCTTGGGGGCCCAGGTGCGCCCCCTAGCGAGGAGCGGCGAAGCGACCGAGGGCATGGATCCGCGGCGCGCCCGGGGTGGGAAGCGAGAGGGAACAGGCCTTCTCATAAGGCGATGGGGCTTCTCAGAAGCCCTCGGGCCTTCTGCGAAGTCTCCCGTGTCCTCGGGGAGGGTTTGCGAAACGTCTCAGAAGGCCCGCGGCCTTCCGAGCCCTCTGAGAAGGCCCGCCCCCTTCTCACTTCCCCCCTGGGCCTCGCCGCCGAATGGAGGGCGGCGGGCTGTCCGCGGCGCTGGAGGCACCGAAGGAGAACAGCGCTGGCGCGCCAGCGGGGGGCCTCGGCGCGGGCGCGCCGCTGGCGCTCAAGGCGCGCTGCGCCAGCACCGCCACGGCCTCTTCGGGAGGGCGCCGCGCTCCCGCCCCCGTCGGCGGTTCAGGAACGGGGCCCTGAGGGATGGGGCCCAAATGCCAGTCAAAGGAGTCACAGGCGGAGCTCTCTCCTCGCATCGCTGCTGGGCCAATACGTGGGAATGCCTGTCCCTCGTCTTCTCCTCCTCTCTGCCTCCCTTCGCCTCCCCCCTCCGCCTCTCCCCCACTCCTCCTCCACCAACTTCCCCCTCCTCCCTGATCACCCCACGTGCCCTCTCACCCTCTCTCATCTGTCCCTCCCCCCTCCCTCCTCCCTCCTCCTTACTCTCGCTCCTCCACCTTTTCCTCCTCCGCCTCCACCTCCTCCAAATCCTCCTCGCTCCTCCTCCTCGCTCCTCCTCCTCCTCCTCTTTCTCCTCCTCCTCCTCCTTGCTTTTCCCCGCGCCTCGTCGTCCCTCCTTTTCCGCGCTCATCGTTCATCCTCCTCCGTGTCGTTCCTCGTCCTCCTCCACGCTCATCGCTCCCCACCCCTCCTCTTTCCATCTCCCCTTCTTGCCACCCCTTTGTCCAAAGGAATGCCACGAGAGAATGTTGTATTGTTCCTCCCACCCGGCACGTCCGTGACGGGGGGAGGTCCTGCCTCCGCCAGGGGAACCATTAACGTGGCGGGCGAGGGCGGGCATAGTAGCAATCGTAATCGCACGTGTTGTAGTCGAGTAGAACGACCACTTGGAGAAATCGCACTAGAAATCATACTGGCCGTAGTCGAAGTATTAGTGGAAGTAGTAGCAGTAGTAGAAGTAGTAGTAGTAGTAGTAGTAGTAGTAGTAGTAGTAGTAGTAGTAGTGGTGGTGGTAGTAGTGGTAGTAGTAGTAGCAGCAGCAGTAGTAGTAATAGCAATAGTAGTAGCCGTAGTAGTAGTAGTAGTAGTAGTAGTAGTAGTAGTAGTAGTAGTAGTAGTAGTAGTAGTCGTAGTAGTAGTAGTAGTAGTAGTAGTAGTAGTAGTAGTAGTAGTAGTAGTAGTAGTAGTAGTAGTAGTAGTAGTAGTAGTAGTAGTAGTAGTAGTAGTAGGTAGTAGTAGTAGTAGTAGTAGTAGTAGTAGTGTAGTAGTAGTAGTAGCAGTAGTAGTAGTAGTAGTAGTAGTCGTAGTAGTAGTAGTAGTAGTATAGTAGTAGTAGGTAGTAGTAGTAGTAGTAGCTAGTAGTAGTGGTAGTATAGTAGTAGTAGTAGTAGTAGTAGTAGTAGTAGTAGTAGTAGTAGTCTAGTAGTGGTAGTAGCAGTAGTAGTAGTAGTAGTAGTAGTAGTAGTAGTAGCAGAAGGAGTAGTAGTAGTAGTAGTAGTAGTAGTAGTAGTAGTAGTAGTAGTAGTAATAGTCGTAGTCGTAGTAGTCAACCTAGTCGTAGTAGGAATAGTAGTATTAGTAGTAATAGCAGCACTAATCGTAGTAGTAGTAGTAGTAGTAGTAGCAGTAGTAGTAGTAGTAGTCGTAAGAGTAGTAGTCGTAGTGGTAGTAGTGGTAGTAGTGGTAGTAGTGGTAGTAGTAGTAGTAGTAGTAGTAGTAGTAGTAGTAGTAGTAGTAGCCGTCGTAGTAGAAGCAGTAGTAGCAGTAATAATAATGAAAAGTCGCAGTCGTAGTAGTAGTAGTAGTAGTAGCAGCAACAACAGTAGTAGCAGTTGTCGTCGCAGTAGTCGTATTAGCCGTAGTAGTAAAAGAAGTAGTAGTAGTTGTAGTACGAGTAGTACTACTACTCCTAATCGTACTCGTCGTATTAACAGTCGTAGTCGTAGTCGTAGTGGTAGCAATCGTAAAGAGTAGTCGCAGTAGTTGTGGCAGCTGTAGTAGTAGTAGTAGTAGTAGTAGTAGTAGTAGTAGTAGTCGTAGTAGTAGTAGTAGTAGTAGTAGTAGTGGTAGTAGTAGTAGTAGTAGTAGTAGTAGTAGTGGTAGTAGTAGTAGTAATAATAATAGTAGTAGTAGTAGCAGTAGTAGTAGTAGTGGTAATAGAATCAATAGTAACATTAATAACACGAATCGAATTAATAGTCGTAACCGTAATGTTAGCCGAACTAGTCGGACTACGAGTAGTAATAGTAGTAATAATAGTAGTAGTAGTAGTAGTAGTGGTAGTAGTAGTAGTAGTAGTAGTGGTAGTAGTAGTAGTAGTAGTAGTAGTACTCGTCGTAATAGAAGTCGTAGTAATATTATGAGTAGTAGTAGTAGTAGTAGTAGTAGTAGTAGTAGTAGTAGTAGTAATCGTAGTAGTAGTAGTAGTAGTAGTAGTAGTAGTAGTCGTAGTAGTCGTAGTAGCACTGGTAGTAGTAGTAGTAGTAGTAGTAGTAGTAGTAGTAGTAGTTGTTGTAATAACAGTAGTCGTAGTCGTAGTCGTAGTTCTGGAAGTAATAGTAATAGTGGTGTTAGTAGTAATGGTGGTCGTTAATGGAAGTAGTAGTAGTAGTAGTAATGGTGGTGGTAGTAGTCGTAGTAGTACAACAACAACTACTACTACTACTACTACTAGGGGTGGTACTAGAAGTAGTGGTGGTAGTAGTAGTAGCACTAATACTACCCTTCGCAATATTAGTAGTAGTCGCACTAATGGTAGTAGCATTAGTAGTAAACGTAATAGTAATCGTAGTAGTAATAGCAGTAATAGTGGTAGCAGCGACAGTGATAATAGCAGTAGTCGTGGTAGTAAGAGTCGTCGTAATGGTAGTCGTCGTGGTCTCAGTAGAGGTAGTTGCAGTAATAGTAGTAGTAGTAGTAGTAGTAGTAGTAGTAGTAGTAGTAGTAGTAGTCGTAGTAGTACAACTAGTAGTGGCATTAGTAGTATGAATCGTAAAAGTCGTGATAATAATAATAGTCGTATTAATTGTAGTTGTTGTCGTAGTAGTTGTAGTAGTAGTGGTATTACTAGTAGTAGCAACAATATTAGTAGTACTACTACTAGGAGTAAGAGTGGGAATAGTAGTCATAGTAACAGTAGTCGTCGCCGTCGTGCGGTCGTAGTAGTAGTCGTGCTAGTCGTTGTGATGGATTGATAGTAGCAAAGATAATCGTAGCACCAATTGTTGCACTGGCAGGCGTAATAGTGATACGTGATACTAGTCGTCGTCGTGGTACTCGTGGTTGTCATGATAAGTGTGGTATTGCAACCGCTTGCAACCACCACACTGATCTCGATCACCACAGAACGCTACCGCGCACCACAATGCGCGCACTTTGCGTTTGCGAACACCGCGGTGCGGTTAAAACAACCACGCAGCGTGTTAACGGGCCGCCCAGTGTCTTGCCTGGAGGCCTGCGGGGCGGCGTCAGCCTGTGGAATAAACATGGGTTCTATTTCAACTGCGGCGGCGGAACGGAAATGGCAGCGTCGTGGGGCGACGAAGCCTTTACACATCTGATGTCCCCGGCCAAACCCGCTTTCTGCCCAGGAGCGGTACGCGCGCCCTCCTGACTTCGCCAAGGGGACACACACACACACCGCCCGTGACACAGCACGGGCCTGACCAGGGGCAGCGGATACGTATGCGCCTCGTCACCTGCACCAGACGGCTGTGGCCGAGGCAGTACACGCCCCAAATAATAACACACGCTTGCCACCGCACGACCCCAAACAACGAGGTGCTGCATTTTGAAAACACAACATGCTGCCCCACAGGTTGTGCCCGTCATTTGTGCCATGGTTTGCGCAATATGGTTGCGCCAAGGTTGCGCCCCCAGGGCGTGCCATAGCTCGAATCATAGCTTACGCCATGGGTTGCGCCGCCGGCTGCGCCGTACGGTTGCGCTACATGTGGCGACAAAGGTTGCGCCATAGGGTTGTGCCTTAAGTTGCGCCACGGCGTACCTGTGATCACGAAAGCATGCCTGCCAACACCACAGCACGCCTGTGAGCACAGAAGTAACAGCAACAGGAGCAGGAGGAGGAGGAGGAGCAGTAAAGGGTGCAGCAGGAGGACCACCAAGAGAAACAGCAAGAGGGGCAGCGGAAGGAACAGCTTTGGAGGCAGGAGGGGCACCAACAAAAGAAGCAAGAGGAGCACGAGCCAAGAACAATAACAAAAGGAGGAGCAACATGAGGTGCAACAGGCGGAACAGCAAAATGAACACGGTAACAGGAGGAATACAAGGAAGGAAGAGCAGAGGAGCATCAGAACACCAACGAGAACGGCAGGACGAGCAGAAGCAGCAGAGGCAACACCGCATTGCTGGCGTTCGAAGCATTCCCAGCGAACCGGATGCTTGCGAGCGCCACCGCATGCTTGTGAGCACCAAATCAGACCTGTCAGCAACACAACACGTATGTGAAGATAGCGCCGTCACTGAAGGGGAGATGGCACCACAAGCGCGCACGTTCGTTACTGCTCGGGGGGGTCGGAGACCACAATAAAAACACTTTCCGACCTCGGTGATGAGCTGCTGCAGCTCGCCGCTGCCCAATGCCTCCAGCTCCGCGCGCCTCATCATCAGCCCCGCACCGGCGAGGTCGCGCGGGCGCGCTATCCCAGGCTATCCCTCCTCGGCGCCGCCCCCGATCGCCTCGCGTCGTGAAAACATCACGACGGTCGGTTTTTGGCTGTTTTTGGCCCGTCAATTGGTGATCAAAGACGAGAAACGGGACGCCGGGAAAAAGTCCACAGCTCCTCGGGACCCCGGAAAAAAACATCTGGACTTCCTCGGCGCCCCTCGCCCTCCACCCGTCCTGGTCCGCGTCCTCCGCCCGCCTCTTCGTCCTCCTCCGCCCGCTTCCTCGTCCACCCACTTCCTCCTCCTCTTCCTCTTTCCTCCTCCTCCTCCTCCTCCTCCTCCTCTTCCTCCCCCTCCTCCTCCTCCTCCTCCTGCTCCTGCTCCTCCTCCTCCTCCTCCCCCATTATTCCCTCCTCCTCCTCCTCGTCCTTCTCCAGATGATAATCCGAGTCATCAGCATCATCAACATCATTTGCATCACGACCACCACCATCACCCGCACCACCAGCAACATCGTCAGCACCATCATCATCAGCATCATCATCCGCGCCATCATCAGTTTCAGCAGCATCACCAGCATGATCAGTGTTATCGTCAACCTCCACATCACCATCGTCACCGTTATCGCCACCGTGACAACGTTACCCTCATCCACAATCCTCATCGCCACCACCACCTCACCCTCATCGCCCGCGCCACCGCATCTTCCATATTTCATCCTCGCCCTCCCCCACCCCGCGCGCCCACGGCAAAGCCATGGTGCCGAATGCCCAGACGTAGAAGAGCGGCATGGATCCCATCAACTGCCAACGCGATCTTCCCCTGTCCCCCTTCCTCCTCCTCCTCCTCCTCCTCCTCCTCCTCCCCTCCTCCTCCTCCTCTCCTCCTCCTCCTCCTCCTCCCTCTCGTCATCCCCTCCCCCTCTCACGCTCCCCCCTGCCCCCTCCTCCTCCGTCCTTCCTCCTCCGTCTCCTCCTCCTCCTCCGTCCCGTCTCCGTCTCCGTCTCCGTCTCCGTCCTCCTCCTCCTCCTCCTCCTCGTCCTCCTCGTCTCCTCCTCCTGCTCCTCCTCCTCCTCCTCCTCCTCCTCTCCTCCTCCTCCTCCTCCTTCTCCTCTCCTCCTCCTCATCCCTCCTCCTCCCCCTACTGCTCCACCTCCTCCTCCTCCTCCTCCTCCACCCCCCCCATCCCCTCTTCATCGTCGTCCCCCTCCTCCTCCTCCTCCTCCTCCTCCTCCTCCTCCTCCTCCTCCTCCTCCTCCACCTCCTGCTCCTCCACCACCTCCTTGGTTCCTGCTCTTTTTTTCTAGTCCCATTCCCCCTCTTCCTCCTCCCCCTCCCCTTCATCCTCGTCGTCGTCGTCGTCCTCCTCCTCCTCCTCCTTCTCGTCCTCCTCCTCCTCCTCCTCCTCCTCCTCCTCCTCCTCCCTCCTCCTCCTCTTCCTCCTTTTCCTCCTCCTCCGCGTTTCCTCATGACCATCCTCGTTGTCCGTCGCATATCCTCCTCCTGCGTCTGCTCCTGTTCCCGCCCCTGCATATGCTCCTGCTCCTGCCCTCTTCCTCCCTCTCCTCCTCCTCCTCCTCCTCCTTCCTCCTCCTCGTCCTCCCGCCTCCGTCCTCCCCATCCGTGCTCCGTCCTCCGTTGTCCGTCCTCCTCCTCCTCCTCCTCCTCCTCCTCCTCTCCTCCTCCTCCTCCTCCTCCTCCTCCTCCTCCCTCCTCCTCCTCGTCTGCGCAGCGGCGGGACCTCCTTGAGTCTGATGGGAGGCCCGCCGCCTTCGCGCGCCGCGCGGCGAGCGCCCGCCGCGCCCGCCACGCCCGCGCCCGCCGCGCCCGGCGCGGCGCTTCGCCCGCGGCCGCGGCGACGCCCCCGCGGGGGGGGGAGGGGGGGAAGAGGGAGGGAGAGGAGCAGGGACGAGGGGGAGACGAGTTGTTGTGGTCGGAGTGCGCGGTCGCATTGGTCGCGGTCGTCGCGCGCGGTGAGTTGCGCGCAACGTTGTAGTCGTCGAGTGGCCGCCTTTTCCAGGCCCAGGGGGGGACCACCAGACCCCTGCGTTAGGCGCGCTGGCTGGCCTGGCGGCCACGTCGAGCAGCGCGGATTAGCGCGCGCGCCACCGCCCGGACCACGCAGGTGGCGATGGACAGGTGGAATATGCTGAGTGTCTCCTGGCGCTCAGGTCCGTCTGGAACTTAGCTGCGCAAGCCACTGTCGCGTAGACTCGCCCATGCCCCCCGAGACTTCAAACCCAAGGGGCTGGAAGCCAGCGGCGCCATCGTACTTGCGGCGCTTGGCATGTTCGGCAAGTGTGGCGGCGGTGCCTTGGGCATGAGCCCCCCAAGCCTGCAGGCTCTGATGCGAGGCCGGGTGCGCGACCGCTAGGTCAAGATAGGCCCACTGGCCGGTCGCCTCCTCCTCCACAGTTGCACAATCTGAATACTACTCTCCTCTCTCTTTCTTGGTGGCGTCCGGGAATGTCCGGCCCCCCATCCACGTCATGGTTTTGTACACACAGGAATCCCGGGAGTTGGGCTGTCGCTTGGTTTTTACCTAACAGCGAAGACTGATAGGTTTCTAGTTGACTCAAAAGAGCTCACAGATCACTCCACAGGGGGGTCCGGGCAGGTGTTGGGGAGTTGCCGGGCGGCAGGGTGCCGGGCTCGTTTTTTTATCAACAGTCACACACTTCGTGCTCTTCGACTTCCCAGAACTCCATTCCCAGGCCACATTCTGAATACCCGGATCAACAGTCACACACTTTGTGTTCTTCGAGATCCCAGAACGCCATTCCCGGGCCACATTTAGAATAACCAGATGCAACAGTCATACACTTCGTGCTCTTCGACATCCCAGAACGCCATTCCCGGGCCACATTTTGGATGCCCGGAGCCAACTGTAGGCCACTTCGTGCTCTTCTATTTCCCAGAACTCCATTCCCGGGCCACATTTTGAATGCCCGGAGCCAACTGTAGGCCACTTCGTGGTCTTCGAGTTCCCAGAACTCCATTCCCGGGCCACATTTTGAATGCCCGGAGCCAACTGTAGGCCACTTCGTGCTCTTCGAGTTCCCAGAACTCCATTCCCGGGCCACATTTTGAATGCCCGTAGCCAACTGTAGGCAACTTCGTGCTCTTCGACTTCCCAGAACTCCCATTCCTGGGCCACATTTTCAGCAGGGGCAAGAGCACGACGAGGAGGAGGACGAGCAAGACCAGGAGGACGAGGACGAGCAGGAGCAGGACGAGGAGCAGGAGGAGCAGGAGAAGAAGGACGAGCAGGAGGAGGAGGAGGACGAGCAGGAGGAGGAGGACGACCAGGAGGAGGAGGACGACCAGGAAGAGGAGGAAGAGGAGGAGGAGGGGAGGGGGAGGAGTACCCAGGAGGAGGAGGAGGAGGAGGGAGGAGGAGGAGGAGGAGAGGAAGAGGAGGAGGAGGAGGAGGGGAGGAGGACGAGGACGAGGAGGAGGGGAGGAGGGGGGGGGAGACAGGAGACCAGAAAAAGGGAGAACGAGGACCACAGGAGGAGGAGGAGGAGGAGGAGGAGGAGGAGGAGGAGGAGGAGGAGAGAACACCAGGAGGAGGAGGACGAGCAAGACGAGGAGGACGAGAACGAGGACGACCAGGAAGAGGAAGAGGAGGAGGAGGGGAGGGGGAGGACTACCAGGAGGAGGAGGAGAAGGAGGAGGAGGAAGAGGAGGAGGAGGACGAGGAGGCGGAGGAGGAGGAGGAGGACGAGGAGGAGGAGGGGGGGGGAGAGCACCAGGAGGAGGAGAACGAGGACCACCAGGAGGAGTAGGAGGAGGAGGAGGAGGAGGAGGAGAGAGCACCAGGAGGAGGAGGACGAGCAAGACGAGGAGGACGAGAACGAGGACGAGCAGGAGGAAGAGGAGGAGGAGGAGGAGGAGGAGGAGGAGGAGAAAGAGGAGGAGGAGGAGGAGGGCAGGCTGAGGCTGAGGCTGTGACTGCGACTGCCGTTGCCGCTGCGACTGTCATCGCGAATGCGACTACGACTGCGAGAACAGCAGAATTCGACAACTGGATTTTCATCTGAATCTTAAGGGGAATGCTTTCAGATATGCTTCTACACATCGCTGTTAGGTTGCTTTGCCGGGATAATTTGTTCGAAATGCTGCTCTCGATGAGGCGTTGGCTTCAGTTTCGGGCTACCGCTCGTTACGAATGGTGCTCCCGCTGCAACGCTGGCCAAATTCCCGCGCTTCCGCTCGTTCCGAATCGTGCTCCCGCCGCAGCGCTGGCGTCATCATTTCGAGTGCCATGCCCCGGCATGGTTTTCGGTCTTTTACCTAACAGCGAAGACTGCTAGGTTTCTAGTGGTGTCAAAAGAGAGCAGCACATTACTCCACAGGGGGGTCTGGGCAGCCGTTGGGGACGAGTTGGGGGGCCGTTGGGGGGCCGTTGGGGATTGCCGGGAAACCTCGTTTTTCGCAAACAGTCACACACTTCGTGCTCTTCGACCTCCCAGAACTTCATTCTTCGACCTCCCAGAACTCCATTCCCGGGCCACATTCTGAATGCCCGGAGCCAACTGTAAGCCACTTCGTGGTCTTCGAGTTCCCAGAACTCCATTCCCGGCGTACATTTTGGATGCCCGGGCCAACTGTAGGCCCACTTCGTGGTCTTCGAGTCCCAGAACCCATTTCCGGGTCCACATTTTGGATGCCCGGAGCCAAACTGTAGGCCACTTCGTTGGTCTCGAGTTTCCCAGCAACTCCATTTCCCGGGGCATGGTTTCGAATTCCAGGAGCCAAACTGTAGGCCACTTCGTATTCTTGGACTCCCAGAACCCATTCCTGGGTATGATTTGAATAAGCCGGAGAAAAAACTGTAGGCAATTAGTGTCTTCGAGTTCCCAGAAATTCCATTCGCGGGCTACATTTTGAATGATGAGGCTGAGGCTGAGGCTGAGGCTGAGGCTGAGGCAGGCTGAGACTGAAGCCGAGGCTGAAGGCAGATTGAGGCTGAGGCTGAAGCAGGCCGAGGCTGAGGC